CACACACACACACACTCACACACTCACACACTCACACGCTCACACACTCACACTCACACGCTCACACACTCACACTCACGCACACACAGCACACACACACACAGAGCACAGCACAGACCTGCATCAACCTCGCGGTTCTGGCCGTAGAGGCGGGTGGGGACGATGTTGTCGGCCAAGCTGAGCTGGCGCTGAGCAGCGGCGAGAACAGCTTTCACGTCGTCATCAACGCGGCCCCACCTGTTCGCGAACGCCAGATGGTGGTGTGGTGTGGTGGTGGCGAGTGATGTGGATGCAGCCAATGAAGGAAGAGCTTGAGTGCGGTTTGCTGTCACCCAACAGAGAGCAAGCGCAAGAGAGAGACAGAGAGCACGAGAGAGAGAGAGAGAGACAAAGCAACCCGAGCCAAGAGTTGGTTGGCTGGCTCAGTGGTGGCAGCAAAAACTCACCGAACTTTCTGTAGCGCCGAAATGAAGGATTTGTCCGATTGGCGGTACACCTTGAGAGGAGATGCGGAACGTGAATGGTAGGAACGCGGACACATGCAAGAACACGCAAGAAACAACACACACACACACACACACACACACACACACACACACACACACACACACACACACACACACACACACACACACACACCACACTTTCACGATCGATCAACAACCTTGACGAGGTGGTGGACTTGAAAGTTGCATTCGCTCCAAACGTTGTTGCCGAGAGGATCCGGCTCAAATGCATAACGCGTTTCGCCATCGAAAACACAGCGGCACACACGCATGGACTTCCCGTGTGTCTGCTGTCCTTTGTTCTTCCGTTTCTGCGTATGTTTGGACGAGCGACCAGAGGACGTGTTGGGATCACTCCCATACTCGTACAAACATTCAATCAACTGTCATGTGTTTGTGCGTGTGTGAGCATTGATTGAAAAGGCAGTCACATTACACCTGGCACGTCGCACGGTGCATGCAGCACTGCAACACGTCGATACGCTGCCTGTCGTCACCTTTCGTCCGTCGGCGCTCTTCTTAAAAATGCGGTGCTTTGGATCCCGATTCCCGCACCTGATGATGCACACACACACACACGCACACACACGCACACGCACACGCACACACGCACAACAACAGCAACAACAGTGACAGCAGCGACAGCAGCGACAGCAGCAGCAATAGTGAGCACGGCGTCGTGCATCGCATTCACATGCGCGCGCACCGGGTGCTTAAACAATCGCTCTCCCACCCCGTACGCATACACACACACACACACTCACACACTCAATCACTCACTCACTCACTCACTCACTCACTCACTCACTACTCACTCTGGGCATGGGACGATGCCAGGAACCGGTGGCAGCTGGAAAAAGTCTCCACACACGATGAGTTGCAGTCCTCCAAACGGAAGATCCTTCCGCCTGCGTAACGCGCGCCCAACCGCATCCAGCTTTGAAAACACACTTGCGCTGAGCATGCTGATTTCGTCAATCACAAGCACGTCGCATCGCTGCCACCGAAACCCGGGCTGCACACGCAAGGGTGTGTGTGTGCGTGTGTGTGCGTGCGTGTGTGTGTGTGTGTGTGTGTGTGTGTGTGTGTGTGTGTGTGTGTGTGTGTGTGTGTGCGTGTGTGTGTGTGCGCGTGTGTGTGTGTGTGTGTGTGTGTGTGTGTGTGTGTGTGTGTGTGTGTGTGTGTGTGTGTGTGTGTGTGTGTGTGAATGGATGAGTGAAAGGCAGGAAGCATGTGGTGTTAGGAGTATTCGCATCCTCCTCACTCGTCACTACCACCACAGTCGCCACCACCACCATCACCGCCATCATCACGGTCACCGTTATTAACTCTATCTCTGCTGCGCGCGCACCTGATTCTTCTTTGTGAGGGAGGAGATACGATTGATCAGCATCCAGGCCGGCTCGTGCCCAAGCCGAATCCCGCTGCAGTATTGGTGGTCATGGCGATGATGATGACGATGATGATGATGATGATGATGATGATGATGATGATGATGATGATGATGATGATGATGATGATGATGATGATGATGATGATGATGATGATGATGATGATGATGATGATGATGATGATGATGATGATGATGATGATGATGATGATGATGATGATGATGATGATCAGGAGCACATGCATGCACATGCACACACACGCACACACACACACATGCACACATGCACACCTGAAGCTGTGGATGGTGGTTGCTTGCGCTTCCAAATTGATGGCAGCGATGCCTGCGAAATGAGGAGACGGTGAGACTACATGTACAACTGTCGTTGCAATGCTTGCACACACAACACACATACAGCACCACACACGCACACACACAACACACACAACACAACACTATAACACGACAGCACAAGCAACAACCCACCGGTGGTAGCGGTGACGTAGACGCGCTTGTTCAGCTGCGCAAGACGCGTGATTATCTTCTTGAGCGTAAACGACTTGCCCACACCGGCCGACCCCGTGAGAAAGATGTTGTGTCCGTTCTCCGCAGCGCGAATGGCGTTCAGTTGCTCACGTGCCAGCACCATCGGCACCTCCGTCAGCTGCTCTCGCATCTCCACAGGCTTCATCGACGACGACGACGATGATGACGATGATGAGGATGGTGCTTTTGCTTGATCTTGTTGCTGTTGTGGTTGCTGTTGGGTCTGTTGATGTTGCTGTTGGGTCTGTTTGAACAGCTGTCGGGATTGCTTGGCTGCTGCTTCGCCGCTGGCTGTGGATGTGTTCAGCATCCGTGCCAGTGGCTCGTGCCGCGGTGTTGTTGCCGTTGACAGCGACTGTGTTGACGGTGATGGCGGTGGTGAAGGCGAGTGCATCTTTGCCAGCAGTGCGCGCGCTGACATCCACATTGGCCCCGAGGACGGCGTTGCTGGCGGTGGCGGCGGCGACACACGCCCGCGTCCATCACCTATGCCATCACCACGACCACCTCCACCATCACCACAGTAATCTGTGTTGGATGGCGGGTTGAGATCGGCTGCCTCTCGTTGCAGTGCGTACCACGGGGTGCTGTCGTGGTGGTGGTTGTTGGCATACGGCTCGCCGTGCACGTGTGTGCTGTAGGCCCACCGTTCCTGCCGCTGCTCGTTGAGGATTTGCTGTTCTCGGAGACGCCGGTTGTGCTGCGGTGATGTGTTTGGTCCAATCACCCACAAGTCCGTCTGCTTTCTCGGCGATGACGAGGGGGATGGCTGTTGCTGTTGCTGCTGTTGCTGTTGTTGATCGTGTTGGGGTTCTGCTACATCCTGACCATCCTGTGTTGCGGCTGCTGCGGTTGCGGCGGCTGCTGTTGTTGCCTTAGCATTCGCAGGGTCCGTACTGCTGGTATTGTTGTTGTTGTTGTTGCTGTTGTCGTTGCTGTTGTTGCTGTTGTCGTTGTGGTATGCGGCACGCGCCATGTCTCGCTCTGTCTGCTTCTGCTGCTGTACTGACAGCAAACCAGACTCCTTTAACGCCTTCATGCCTTGCTCCCGCCACCGCTGCCGCTGCGCTTCCCTGCGCACGACAAAACACGTTGCAAGGCAATGCAATGAGGGAACACAGGGAAGGGGGCGGCGAGGATCACTTGCAGATGCAGTGGATCGCTTGCAAATGCACAGACAGCCACCCGATCACACGCACACACACACACACACACGCACACACACCGCAGTAACACATTCGAACACACACACGCATGTATACACACGTACGCACACGCATGTATACACACACGCACATGCACACCGCAGTCACACACACACACACACGAGCACCGTTTGCGGCGAAGCGCCTCGCGCCGTTTGTTGGCGATGAGGCGGTGCTGGTCAAGGCTGAGCTGCGACGGGGAATCAGCGTCGCTTGGCTGTTGGGAAGGGCCGTCCCTGCCGCTCACGCCACTGCCGTTGGTGTTGCTTGGTGCCTGTGCAGACAAGTGTGGCATGGTGGTGGATGCAGGCGTGCATGCGAGACAGAACGCGGTGCACGAACGAACCATTGTTTGTTTGTGGATGGAAAGAAGGGATGGAGGGATTGGGAAGAGCGATCCACAGCCAGATGGCAATGTACATGAACACCCGTGTTTCCAGCCAGACGTGCACATTCATTGCGAGGCACCCGTTCCACCACTCACCCGAAGCAGGCTGGAGGGCAGCGTGCGCGCCTTTTTGAACGGCTGCACACATTCATGGTAGTGAACATGGGTGTGGATAAGGGATGGTGGTTTGATGTCGGCAACAACAACAAACGGCTACACCCACATGCAGCAAGACCGCGCGGGCTAACATCAACAGCAACCAAAACACGCAATCATCGCAGCAGCAGCAAACGCAACACAAGCAGCAACACAAGCAGCAACAACCGCACAAGCAGCAACAACATACCTTGACGTTTGGCAGTGAGGGTGAGGTGGGTTGTGGATCCCCGTCATCTACGATAATGACAACGTCATTGGGGGCGGTGCTTGCGCCCTCGCTTGCTCGTCGCTTGGCACCCTGTTCAGCGGCTGGCGGCGTTGGCACTGCGGTGTTGGTTTCTGTGCCGGTGCTGTCCGCGTTCCCACTGCAGGTTGCGCGCTTGTCGCTTGCTTCTTCCACGGCTTCAAAAGGTTGCGTCGGCGGCGCTGACGCTTCATCTCCCTCCCCTACTTGCGAGCTGCGTCGCCTGCGTCGCCTGCTCCTCCTCCCTCCTCGCCGCTTCCGCTTATCAAACGTCGCTTCCCCATCCATCGTCAAAGCTGTGCGTGGGGCGGGCTGTATTGGGTGGTGGTGTGCGCGCAAAAAAAAAACGAAAAGAAGCGTGTTCGAATTCGCCCGCGAATTCTTCTGTCTCATTGCATTTAGGTGTTTCTGTCTGTCGCATGTCGCCGCAGAGACACGCTTGTGCAAACACCGACACATCCTCAGCTTCGACAAGTCTGGCGATTACACCGTGTTTGACCTCGTGTTTGCCGCCCCCGCGGCCAGCTCGTACCAACCACAGGCCGCCAAAGCCAACCTCTACGCGGCGTCGCAGGCGGAACAACGCAAGATCAAGAAGTACCAGGCCATCCTACGCGACCAGGGCGACTTCAAATTTGTGCCGATTGCGATCGAGGCCGGCTCGGGCGCCTGGGGCTCGAAGTTCCGGAAGTTCTTCAGCAGCGACCTTATGTCCACGACGGACCCACAAACACCACCACACGTGCGCACTTTTACCTCCATGCACAGCAGCACGTACTGGCGGCAAGTGTTGTCCATCGCGAGATGCAAGGCTGAGTGCTACGCGAACCTCCGGTGCATCGGCCAGATGCCTCACGACAAGCGGGGCAAAAACCAGCCGGGCTCGGTCCGGGCGGGAGACACACACACTCCCCGCCAGAGCACCCAGACGGTACAACGAGCGCGCGCTCAAGCCCAGCGCAACCACCAACAGGGCAAGCGCACCCGCAAGCGCAAGCGTCCGCAGACCACACCCCCCGGCCACAGCGGCCAGCGCAGCAATGACAGCAACAACGGCACTGCTGCCACCGCCGCTGCCACCGCCACCACCGACAACGATGAGGGACAGCCACGCAGCGCCCCAGTGACCTCACGAAGCCCCGGTGGCCCGGCCGCAACAGAGCCCCCTGCAACTGTCTAAGCGACAGTCGCAGCACTACACATGAGCCTCGCACCGAGGCACTTGGTTTCTATCTATCTATTGATTCACTTTTCTTTCTGTCTATGAGGCGCGTGCTCTCACACACATTCACCCATGCGCACCGCTGCCCTTTGTTTTGCCGCAATTGCCTTCCCCATCTCTGAGCGCTGGGAGCAGTGTAAGATTTCAGCGAGTTTTCCCCAATAAACCCCATGTCAACCAAACGGACGGACACGCTTGTGCACAAGACAAAGACTCACCCTCTCACCCTCTCACCAGCCAGCCAGCCATGACGCTGCGTGCGTTAACGGTGAGTGAGTGGGCCATCATCGCAGAATACCTGATGCCGGAACTCCACAACCACCAACAGCAGCTGCAGCAGTGGCCACTCGGCGACATGGCAAAGTGCTGCGTTCGCCCCTCCCAGCGCGACAACTACAGGGCCTTCTTCAACCTCATGCTCACATGCCGCGAGTTGTACCAGGACCTGCCGTGGCGAATGCCAAAGTGGTGTCTGGCTGGAGTGTTTAACGAGCTTGCCGAGCTCCGCACGCTCAACGACGGTGTCGACGACATGGCCGACGAAGAGGCGGCGCGCGCTGACCCTGTTTACGAAATCGAAGGAGGCATCTACGATGTTCCACTGCGAGACGCTGGCCCCATCATGATGTGGCTTGATGCATTCCAACAAGAAAAACGTCACCTCCAAAACGAGGACAAAGAACACGAAGGGGATGGCCCTGCATATGACGCCGCCACACACGCCTGGATGGACAACAGGTTCCTCGCATACAGCTGGCTCGGTGTCACATGGAACAGTGGCTGCGTGTTTCTGCTCTCCAAAGTAGGTTCTTTTTGTACCGCACGTGATTTCTGGCGCGAGTTTGCGCACTGTGGGCGCGTCGCTTTCAACAGCTTGGAGGCGATGGAACAATGGGAGATGATGGCAGACTACGCACCGTACATCAACGAAATGGTACTGACACAAGGCTCAGAAGAGCCTTGTCTGGAACTCGACACAACCAGCGACGAGAACCTCGCATCCCCTGACAAAGCTGTGCAACAACAACAACAACAACAACAACAACAACAACAACAACAACAACAACAACAACAACAACAACAACAGCAACAACAACAACAACAACAGCAACAACAACAACAACAACAGCAGCAGCAACAAACCCTTCCTTCGCCAGCGTTGTTTTTCTCCACAGCGACATTGAACACCCAAGCAGAGGCGGACCAGTGGAACCGCCTGCGTACCACCGTGTTGGCACGTGCTCAGGGTGAACTGGTGTGCCTGAATCCAAAACCACCCGTCTCCTCCCTCACGGCGTCCCGCATCAATCAGCTGCGCATCCAAACCAGGCTGCATGCCCCTGGCATTGGTGAGCTGAACCTGCACAGCGTGGGGCACGCCCGATGGGAACTGGTTGTAAATGACAGTGCGCATGTCGACGAGCTGCGCAACAGCGCACGTGCCCTGGCCGCTGTCTCCGACATACGGCTCGTGTCGCGCGTGCAGCAACCAATTGACATCACGCCACTAGCCGGGGTGAGGTCGCTCAGCCTCGAGGCCGTCCGTGTTGGCAGCGGCCACGACGTGATTGCAGCCGCACAGACCCTTCACCTCTCAGATATGACCCTCGATGTCAACACGCTCACCGCCAGCCACGTCCGGCTGACCAACGTGACTGCCGCGCCAGACGTGCTGAACCTGCCCAACGCCACCCACATTGAGGTGCTCAACTCAAACATCAAGCGAATCGAATGCCCCTCCCGCATCTGCAGGCTGGTCAGCCACTCGGACCACGTGCCACCCCCGCCCATCCCGATCTTTAACCAGGCTGACATGGTGGACATCCACGCCTGCGCCACCCTCATATGCGAGCGGGCGTGGGACCTTCTCGAGTGCACCGACAATGTCGTGTTTCGCGAGTGCGTTGCCGACATTAGTGATCTGCGCGGGACACCCGACCACGTGCGCGTGCGTGCGTGTGGTATATCTGTGCATGAACCCGCGCCATCCTGCGTCAAGGCGATGGTGGTGCACAAGGATGACGCCTTCCACTGCAGATTCGTGGCGGGCGTGCCCGTGGTGAACATCTTCGGCAGGTTCGACTCACCACTGCACGGTCTCCGCCACCTCTCCGGTCGCACGGCGCTGGGCCTGACCAACTGCATGCTTGATGGTGGCGAGATTGCCGACTGCGGGATACTGCGCTTGCTCCACAGTCATGGGCGGGTTGGTGTGACCAACATCCAGTCGCTCATGATCGATCACACGCGCGTCGTTGCGCCCAAGCCACCAGCACCCGACGACGCCAACCATGATGATAACGGTGGTGGTGGTGATGCTGATGATGATGATGATGATGATGATGATGACGATGATGATGATGATGATGATGATGATGATGATGATGATGATGATGACGTGTTTGGTGCCGATCCACTGGCGCTGACACATGTGCGCGATGTGTTCACCTGCCGGCTTTTGGATTGCGACGTCCCCGACTTTCGCTGTTTGGCCGGAGTTCAGCGCCTGGTCCTGAACGATTGCATATTTGATGATGTGGCGTCGCTGCCAGCTGTGCAATCGCTCGTGGTGCGCGCGTGCACAACGCGCGACAAGACGTGGCATTGGCCGGATTTGGCGCTTGTTGGGCGTGCGGTGGCGGAAATGAGGCAGGTGCTGCTTGCAGGCAAGGACAGGGTTGTTGATGACGACTTGGACTTTGACTCTGATGACTTTGACCTCGAGGCTGATGATGCCTTTGACCTCGATGCTGACGATGACTTTGATGATGAAAATGAGGACGATGATGAGAATGAGGAAGCAAGAGGCGAAGCCTAAGCGTTGGGTGATTGCGGTCGCGAGTCAGTGAACAGTTTGTGCGTGTGTGTGTGTGTGTGTGTGTGTGTGTGTGTG